GGAGTCACAAGGACCAGAAAGCCCTGGAGGGACAGCGAGCCAGAGGCGCGGCAGGGCAGGGCTCCAGGACTCGTGTTCTTAACTGGTCCAGAAGCTGCTGTGGAGTCAGGCGCATCCACACCACCTCCCACCCAAGAGAGCAAGCGCTGTCGACGTGAAGAGGCACGGAGAGGGTGGGGAGCACTGGGACAGGTTGCCCAGAGAAGCTGTGGATGCCCCATCCCTGGAAGTGTCCAAGGCCAGGCTGGATGAGGCTTGGAGCCACCTGGTCTATGGAAGGTGTCCCTGCCCATGGCAGGGGGTTGGAACCAGGTGATCTTTGAGATCCCTTCCAACCCAAACCATCTGTGACTCACAGCTGGGTGGTGGCAGCGTTTGCCCCAGGCTGGGGGACGAGGGCAGAGGGCTGACGGACTCACAGGCCCAGAGGCAGGAGCAGAACGTGAGGATCCCAGTTAGAGCAAAGCCGAGCTGCCCGAAATCGATGTGCTCAGCTCCGAGTTGTGCTCTGGCCTCTTCAGAAAGCACCAGCTCAGCTGCCCCTGCAAGGAGAGGTTCTCTCCCAGGGAAGCTGCCACGCCGCTCACACTGCTGCCTTGTCTGCGGAGACGGAGTCACCCTCCCGCGTCCCTCACGCGGAGCTGCGAGCTGACATCGCCAGCTCTCTGCCAGCCATCGGTATTTACTCATTCGAGTCTCAAGGGGCTCCTGGTAGCTGAGAGGGGGGTGAGGAATTTCAATAATCCTATCAAACACGTGTTAAAAAGACAGGGAGAAACCCAAGCGTATGCCACATACCCGGCCAGTCCCAGCGGCAGCGAGACGCGACCCAGGAAGGGAGGGAGCAGGCAGCAGCTTGAGACCACGGAGCCTTTTTGGTTTCCTTTGGAAACTCCAATCTTTAGTTGCTCAGAGCGATAAAACTTCAGTGTGATAAGGAAAGGGGAATGCAACAGGTTCTAAACCCCTGCCACACCTGCCCAGGAAGATCCTTGTCTGAATGCCGAATACCCCGAACTCAAACCGTGCAATGGGGTTTCTGCCGAGACGGTGACGGGAGGATTCAAGTAGAAGCTGTTTAAAAAAGTCACCCCAACAGATCAGAGCTAGCGAGGGGGCTGAACGATCACGGCGCTGTCTTAACTGACGGCAGCAGGCACACGAGTCAGAGCACAGGACCGTTGCCCGGTTCTCCTTCCAGGCCAACCACTGACCCCCGTGAAAGGCTGGGATGAGCGCATGTAAAACGGAGAAAAATCTATTCCCCAGGAAGCTTTGAAGCTAAAAGAGGGTTTGCAAAACAGTTTGGGGTGAAAGACACTGAGGAAAAACCACAGGAAGGCTTTTATCAACACCAATCCACAACTTGTGGTGGAAGGAAGGGACAGTCCGATCTCCAGTCAGCCAAATCTCCACCCGAAAGCCAGAAGAGCCGAAGGGGAGAATAAAAAGCGCAGGCTAGGTGTTATTGTCCCAGTAATAAAACATTTACTAGAGCAAGCAGAAAGTAAACGCACAGCTGATAAAGAAAACATCACGATGTCACAAAAACCTGACAGTTTCTGGTAGTTCTCTCAGTAGAAACAAGACAGAGGTGGGTGCTGACATGTTTCGACAAGAGCTCTGCCTCACCCTGATGGCGCAAGACCCAGGAAGTTATAAAACGGGAAATACACACGGCGAGTTAAAAATGGTAAAGCAAGATTTTACAGTTTTAACTACACGTGTCCAATACGGGGCGATATTCCAGCTGTTCCGCTTCGTCCATCGCGTGCCAGGTTCTCCCTACAGGCTCCCAAGCAGCGGGTCCCTGAATTTGTCATGGAAGCCTCTTCGTTTCGCTACGCTTCGCGGGGCGGGGGGCACCAGCCTTTGGCCGTGGTGGTGGGGCTGCATTGTTTTCCCTTTTTTGTTTTTAATTTGAAGAAGCACTCGAGCCCTCGCGTAACCGAGGGCGCGTAGGCACAGCAGAGAGACAAGTGTGCTAGGCAGGCCTCCACCAAAACAAAGGTTGTGAGGAAAGAGGAGGTTCTGGAGAAGGAAATGCCCGGGCGATGGGATCGGGGTCGATGTCGAGCGCGAACAAGCCAGCGAGCCCACCCTATGCGGCGTGGGAATTTGTGGTTAGTTGGGCCAGGGAAGGAGCCCTCAAACGGCTCCGTAAAAAAATAAGGAAAGAAAAATCAACTGGCTTCATCCCACCTTCAGCAACGCAAATTGATACATCCCCAGTTGGTGGGGAGATATGTAAGGGGCGACCTGGGAGCCAAATTGCTGGGGGAGAAGAGAACACGTGAAGAGATTGGGGAAGAACTTGCCATACTGAACAAATTGTGGAAAACCCGACGTTTAACAGGTGGGTCCCGAGCACCTCTAGAGGGGCTGGGTTCAAATGTGAACGCTGGTTAAGAAAAGACTACTGTATACTTTTAGGGACAACAGTTTTTTCATGTTCCAAGGACGTGAAACAGCTTCTTTCTTGCCCAGAAGGTGTTTAAATCCAGCAGAGTCAGCTGAGCACGGAACATTTAAAAGCAGGACCCAGGGAGCTTTATCAAAATGGTTTTCTTTGACTAAGCATCGTGTGTGCACATCACTAGAGTGAATCTGTCCGCAGATGTACCGTCCCAGACTTGCATGGGGAGTTTTCATGGTTTCCTTCTCCTCCCCCAGCAGTTCAACACCCAGTTTCCAAAAACCCCAAGAAATCCTCTGGAAAAAAAGGACAACACTACCTGCAGGGATTCCAGGCTGCGAAACGCCAGCTTTTAACTGTCCCACCGGCTCTTCTTACGTTTTGGGGGCTCTGGGACAGCAAAACCATCTGGCTTGAAGTCTCGGCTGTTGGCATCCTTCCTGTTCTCCCCATTCCTGTTCTCGGTGTTCCTACCCTCGTTACTACTCCTGCTGTCACCATTATTGCGATTGCCACTGCCCACATCAGCGAAGTGCCGGCTTTCAGCGTGGCGATGGCTGTCGCCATGTCGGCCCTCTCCGTGGCGGTAAGCGTCACTGTGGCGACCGCCTCCTTCTCCGTGGCGTTGCGCGTCACCGTAGCGCCCGCCACCCTCTCCACGGCGCGGGACCTCACCGTGGCGACTGTTCCGGTTGTCGTTGTATCGTTCTCTGACAACGCCGCTGCCGCCGCCGCCAGCAACGCTGGTGCTGCCGCTGCCTTCTCGACTGTTGGTGCTGGCATTCGTGTTGTTGAAGCCCTGTGCTCCGACGCTTGGAAAGGTGGGAACGCTACTCAAATTCCCCGTGCTGGTGAAACCTGGCACACCCTTTGCTGCTGCGGCGGCTGGCATCGGGCTGTCAGGGTTTGCAGCGTTTTGCTGTGCCGAACTCGTCGGTACCGAGTTCAAGCTCCCAGCGCTGGTCCAGCCACTGGCACCAGCAGCGGAGCTACCAGTCTTTTGATTATTTAAGCTTGCAGCAACGAAGTGGCTCTTATACTGGGACTGCCAGAAAGAGACAGAAAGAAAAAAAGAGAGCATGTTTGTCTCTAGACTGCACCACCAAACACCCAGCCATCATGCACTGTCTTCAATTCTGGGGAGCCCCTAGGAGAAGGAGTTCCTATAAAAAGTCTGTCTTGGAGCGA